TATGTAGGTACTTTGACACAAAATTTAAATATTGTCAAATTGCCATGAATGATACATCATTTTAAAGGGCCAGCTATAAGCTTTACAACAACACCAATTTCATCTTTCTATCTTTTATAGAAGTGGAGTTATGATTTTTTGGGTGATTTTTAAACACCCCCTTCTTTATCTTAGTATTAAACTGAAAAAACATGTGACCCACTTTCAAAATTTCTGCCTTATTTTAACCAAAACTTTTTGATTTTAAAAGATAATGCTACCAAATTTTCAGGAGACATTCTCAATGCAATATACAATATAATAAACAACAAAACTTTTATATAAAATTAAGACTTTTATTTTTTTTATAAATTTATTTGTGGGTATGTTCAGAAAAAAGTGAACAGAAAAATTGGGAAAATCAATATTTATACTGGAAAAAACGAAGAAAAAAAACACCCCACCATAAGTCTATATTTATTATTATTTATTGAATTTTAACTTATTTTATTATGCTTGTGTTAATTTTAAATCAATTATATTTATTAAAAGGTAAGTAGTCTTTTTTATTTATAAAATTGAAAGCATGTAATTATAGATAAAAATTACTCAAATATCATCCATGATGAGACTAATTATTTATATATTAAGTGTCTATGTACTGCTTTTCTATGTCCTAATAAAAATATAATTGCTATGATGATGTTGTTTGAGTCTTGTTTATTAATTTGATTTATTTTAATAAAACTGTTATATATATATATATATATATACATATATAAATAACTTATAGGCTTGTAATAGAATTAGTAAGAAAAATTAAGCTTAGGCCTAAATAGGATTATAATAACAGTTGTTTATAATTATAATTATAACTGATAATGATAAGTAGGCCTAATTTTAGTAATATTCTCTGAAATAATTTATCGATATTACTATGTAAAACTATTAAATATTGATTCAATAATGAATGAACGATAAACTGTGTACCGGTACCCTACACAATTTTTAACGTAATAAATAAAACTTAAAACCAACCCTTGGTTACTACATAAACTTTTCAAGTTTGCTTATAATCTTTTCTTAAAATCATTCATTTTAAGCGTCTTATAATTATTTAGATGTTTAAGGATTTAACATTAACGAATAACAGTGATAGCAGCCATTTCCGGCTTCTCTGTCAAAATAAAAAAAATAATGATAATTTCATACCCCCCACTTATTCGCGGGTTGCATAACTTTTTATCGAGACCTCAACGATAATAACTCAAAAAATGAAAAAACTCTTACAATGAATGTAGATTAGGGAGCACTAAACCTTATTTTGGTGGCTTTACTAGTAAAAAAGTATTTATGCGATTTATATACTAACCGAGTCATCATAATAATACTGCCCGTGATGCAAAAAAAAAAATCGTAGCATAAATCAATATATGACCGGAACACAAAAACTGATATGTCAGTGATGAGGAAAGCAATTATTTAATAAACAAAGGTGACGTAGTCTGCAATTTTCCAATGATACAATGTTGCCGTACGCCATATTGCAGAACAAGTTTTTTTCGACATTTTAGGACATGCGCAGAACGGTGCGTGGACAAGTATTGTTATCCCTAGTCATTGTGATATCAAGCGATTGTCAACACACAACAACAGTATGATGATCAATACGAAACACTGCAGTGATTGTTTCATTTTCGTTGAACCTCTGCCCATAAATCACCCCCACCCCCTGTAAGGATCGATTTCTTAGCAAAAAACAACAGATAAAAAAACTTTGAAATAGCGCAAATCCTGTCCCAAGCGCATTGTGCAATGGTTTCTGTGAGAAAACGTGTTTTACCTGAGAACAGCATATCCCATGCCATCCTGGAAACACGACCATGCACATTTATATTCATATGATATCATTGATAAAGTGTATACCGGTACATGTTACATACACTATACATGCGCTTTCAGAAACTTTCAGTTTGTTTTCTAATGTCATACTCATATTACTTATATTACCAGTATTTTTTTTAAGTCAAAGGCCGGCACAACTTGTTGAAACACTTAATAATCAGTTAATAATCTGAATATAACATATATTTAATGTTAATTGTTTTAATTGCTATAAAATATTTAAAAACTTCTCAGGAAACTACAAATGAACATGATAATTTAAATAAAAAATACTTTTAATTAAAATGAGAAGAAAAAAAAAACTCGATCCCCTACTGGGAATTGAGCTCACAATATACTATCGCCAAGCGTCCACTCTACCACTCAAGATCTTATCTTACAGGCTTTTCTTAAAACCAGGCGAATGGTAAATTTTTGCCGCAGTGTACCCAAGCCAAAGCCCACGATTTCGCTAGGTACACCGCCGCGGTGTACGCATCCACTACGATTTATTATATGACGTCTGTTTGGATAGTGTTATGACGATCACGGATATGTATGGTTTGTTATGGTTGTCTTCATTAAATAACTTCAATTTACTGCTCTTTTTTAACATCTCTCCTAACTGAATCTCTGCCCAAATTTTATTTTAGTCACTTTTCAACACCAGAGTTATCCCAAAATAATTCACGAAAAAAATCATAACTTTCTTTAGAATTGACCTACAAACATAAATTAGTTATCAATGAATTGCATTTTTCAGGCCCTATCTAACCAACTAGCTATTAAAGCTATAAATTCATTTTGAAAATTTTACCCAAGTACCTACTATGATTCATAGTCCTAGGTCGTTATTAGTGACTTTCGAGCCAGATGAAACGAAATCCAATTTGAAAAACTATGAAATATTTTGTACCGTTAGATGGCACTTTAGTATGTGATCAAGTAATTGAACATGGGGAAAAATACTTTCATAGTATAGATGATTTGGGATAGCCTTGATAGGGGGATGCAATACAAAACTTCCTACAATTTTTTAAAACTTTGTTGGCTTGAATTTTAAAGTAAACAGTTAACTATCCTCATAAAAAATACTAATTAGGCTCCGATCTTAACAGGAATCCTTTTTAAAACGATAAAGGAGTACTCTATAAACACCACAAAATGTAATTTAGAATTTATTGCTACGATTTTGGTTTATGATTCAAAAGCAGGCTGAGAAATCATTACTGAATTACTGCTATCGGCAATAGGTTACCAAGCCAATTAGGGAAAAAAAAGTAGAGTTTCTTTAAACATGCTACAGCTTTTTAAAATAGTAGAAAATTGAATAGTAGCATAGAGATGGAGTACAATTTTTGAAAAAAGAACTCAGTCGAGTTAAATGTAAGTCTTAATAAACACCATAAAACAGCAGCACATGTACCTGATGATCGCCTGTAGCCATGTTTGCTAGAAAGAAAGGACTATTGCACGCTGGGAAGGATGAAATTTCCGTGGAAAAAAAACGAATCTCCAGTAATTAAAGTTTCTAAAGTATGATTAATGAAAATCTCGACATTTTAAATTTTCAAAATAAATTATTAAGCTTATTTATTCGATATTTTTAAAAGAAAAATTCTTATAATTAATTAAAATTAATTTTGTAGAAAATTATATAGAATTTGTCGTTGATTTCTACCAAAGCTGGGTATTTCAATTTTAAAGAAGAAAACGAATCTATACATGTACGTCAATGTCATAGTACTCATATTCCTTGGCTGTCTCTCCGGCCGTTACAATGTCCTTCTCCGCTCGCCTGATTCCCACCGTTACCAGAGCTGTTTCTCCCAGCTTTGGCCACCGTGCCTCTGTATGTAAATATATCGTTTCTCATTTAAAAAAATAATTTATTTGGATTAACTTATCTGCGGCTACATATTATACGTAGTTGTTTTAGGGTCGCATTCCTTATTCCAGGCCCACTAAGCCCACTTCACTATATTATATATTTACGGTTTACCTTTATAATAAACAAGGGCCTAAGGCCAAACCGGGTGCAGTTTTTTTAAACAGTCCGACTATTTTGATAAAATACCTTTTGGGTCCAAGTGCTATTATAAAAAAAGAATTAACTGTTAAAAGTTAAAGTTTACTGATTTAGTGTCACTATTGGCTTGGCAATCCTCCGAAGTCCAGTCCCAAAAAAGCCCAAATTATTTTGTCTTTTGTATGAAAAAAATTGTAATGCACAGTGTTTATAAAGTTTATTATTATTATTGTCGGTAAGAAAACCACAGAAATTTCAGTCATAGCTTTTGCAAATAACTGTCACTTTACAAACCAGTCTGTAAATACTAAATACTGTAATAGTAATTGACGCAAAGCATTTGCAAATAGCAGCCGAAAACATTCTGCTTGTGACTGTTGCGCCACTGAAAGGCCCCCAAGTAGCTGGCAAACAGACCGCGACTAGTTCTATTCTGATAGCGGAGTTTACGTTTCGCTTGCATCCAAAGTCCTTCAAATAGTTTATGTGTGAATGTCCTGGTCTACTTGATCAACAATTTCACGTGTGTGCACAATGACAGCGTGAGCATAAATCCCGTTGTTGAGCTGAGCGCCATTTTGATATCCTCGCCAAGCGTCCGTGACGATAGTTGTCCCTGGTAACACATGATTAGTGATAATGTGCTCCAGTGTTTGTGCATCTCGACGTCCAACAACCTCCATCCAACATCACCCACTGTCGCAAACATGAATTTCCAAACAAAAAGATGCCTAAGAATTTTAAGTAAGGAGTATTCATTGGAAATAATTTGGGACCGGACTTCGGAGGATTGCCTTTAATTTCTATAATCAATAATCTTAATTAATGTATGCCTGCCTAACTTCTTATTTTATATACCGGTGCTATATACTATTAATGTATACCGGCCTTTAAACAATAGACCTACAGACAGTCCTATGACCTGCCTGCCAGCCTTAAAAATTAGGCCTACCTTAAAAGATAGGCCTGCCTACAGACAGTTTCTGCACCCTACCTGCCGGCCTTTAAACAATAGTCCTACAGACAGTCTTGCACCCTATCTTATCTGCCGGCCTTTATTGATTTAAATGATTACTGTAATATAATAGTCCCCTCCTCCTATAGAAAAGAAAAATTTAACTATTGACCTGAGCTCACTGCATGACAGTGACAGTCTTTATTTTACTCATTACTACTGAAGTCTGTCTTTTTTTTTTTTTATATACTAGTGAAATAATTTATTATAAATGTCTTGTGTTCAAATTGTCTTATAAATGTGCTGAAAATGTATAATGCAATCATTAAAAATTTCAATTTGTTTGGATCAATAAAAGAATCTTATATAAAATGTGGAGTTGAAAGGGTCGTTTTGATGAGGAAGCAGGACACACTAGAAGAAAAATATATATATAGGAGATTAACCCTTTATAACATAACTGATGTGAATGAAAGTGATAATTATTAAATAACAAACTTTCTTTATCCATACATGCCAACCTGTGGAATGAAAAAATTGTACAGAAAAATGAAAACTTGAAAAAAGTATAATTTATAACTTTTTTCATAATTTGTGTCCATGCTATATTTTGAATACATAGATAAAGATTTTCTCATCCCCATTATCTATTTTTTTTAGCATGTTTACATCATTTACAAATGGGTAGATAGCATTTTTAAAAATTGAAAATAGCTGGTTTTAAGTCTTATTTTCGTCATTTTTAGTATTTTTTCACTGGATAATAATAATAGTGTTTTGTAAAAATGGACTCTGATGATGAATTTTATAGCAATTTAGATGTAATTAGACTTAATTCTTTGGTTAATTATGCTTTCTTTGGTTAATTATGCTAGCTATGGTAATACAGATTCCTGTATTAAATTAACAAACAAATGTATCGTCTTGACAAAGCTACAGAATTCAGTTTACCGTAATTAAACCTCATTTTCACTGTACATACTGGAGGAAAATGTCATGAGGATAGAAGTGCTTTTAAAAATCCTATGGGCTTTGTGGATAGAATAGAATATTATGTCAAATGTGAAGTTTCCTGCAAGAGATAAATAATATTACAAAGATATGTCCTACATTTTTCACTGATGCTGGCTTTGAATAACATATAGTTATACAGTGGAGAAGAGTATGCTCACTTTTTGTTTTAGAAAGCGTTAGGACGTTAAATTAAGCCATGCCATATTAATAAATATGAATGAATAATTCTAAATTTAATTATTTTTGTAAAAATTAAAAGAGCACATCCCTAACACTGAAGTTTTTGTAATGAATTGTACAAAAGGATTTGTAATTTTGCTTTACTACTGAAAGTAGTTACTACCGTACTGCACTGTCTTAGTATTAAAGAATGATAAAAAGGAATGTTCACTCAGTTTCTAAATTTAGATGACCAATGAGATTTAGCGCTTCCTGTTTGTCTTGTCTTGTGCCAAAATATTTCTTCTCTAATTCCAGTAACAACCTGTACAAAAGCCTGGCACACATATAAAAGTAGGGATAAACCGTACAGGTCGGCATGTATGATTTATCACACATTAGGTCATTGGTGGTTTCAGCTGAATTACATTTATGCCCTGAGACTTTTATGAGACTGACCTATGACTGCCTAACTATACTGATACTATGACTAATGTCATAGACTAAGTATCATTTATATATTTTATGTTGAATTTTTATTTCAGAGCCTCCCAAGATCATCACCATCTAAATCTTTTCTTTGCGCTGCATCTGCTAGCAGCAGCTCTAAGAATGATTCAACTCAGCCACTTAAGCCTGAAAATATAACAAAGTCTGCACCACGAAGTAAGGCTTAATAAGGATGTTATGGAGTTTATACATTTTAGTGTTTCACTTTCAATTATTAGAATTACCTTAGTGTCTACACTGAGCTACCATGATGAGGGATGATGGGTTATATTATTTCATTTAGGCGGCCTAATGCTGATAGGCTGCATGCACTACAAAAATGAAACATAATTTTGATTATGTAATGTTGATTTTTAATTTCTAAGTTTTGCAATGTATTGGTCACGTTTTAGTGCCATAAGTAATTAAATTATAAGAAATGTATTGTCCTGAATTTTTATACTTAACAGGAGGTTATTACAATTTTAAAAAAGATTAATTTATACAATAATTAGTAATAGTAATTTAAGAATGTCAGTGAAGCTTATTTTAAATAATTTATCTGTTTAAAACAGTCTCTTATTTTTCTTCACAGTAAGCAAGTCAAAGACAGCAGAAGCCCAGAGAGAACAACGGGAAATAGAAAAGGGGGACACGTACAAAGCCGGAGAGACCTTCTACAGTTTCAATTCCTATAGCTTTTATGATATTGAAAATGACATGCACCCTCATCGAATCCCACAGCCTGCTTCCAATAAGGCATAGTTTTTTTGATTCAACTATTGTGAATTTGTTAAAGTTTTGTTTCCTATAACTATCAGTTCTTTGCTTTTCAGTTTGTTACACTGGTTAATATTTTCCTTACATGGGAAAGAAAGCTGTCTAATTAACTTATAACAGCTCTTAGTCCTTAAATATTCTTAACAGATTCTGATACTTGCAGGCATACCTTCCCAATGCAGAATCTTAGTGGCTGGACAAAGGTTTTTAATTTCTAACTGTCTTAGCATAGAAGTGCTGTATTGAACATAGTACTAAGCTTTATAAATCTTAATTAACTTACACATTCATAAACGATGATCTAAAACAAGGGTATTGTGACAAAAATATGTATAAGCGAAACAAAGAACAATTATAGACAACCTCATATTGATTATTTTGCAGACTAAGTTTTGAAAACCCTGGTGGATTTAACTTTTTTAAGCAAATAGTATTTTAAAAGAGACTGTATGTAATATTTTGAATATATTGACGCTTTCTATTATTATTTTTATTATTAAGGTAGTTTTAAAATGGTAAGGCCTTATAAATGTTTAGGTATTATTTTTATTCTTGCATTTTAAGAGCAAATCATTTTTTTTAATTAGAGAATATTTTGTTGAATATTTTGTATTCGACTGCAGGAATTGCAAATGTACATAATATACTGTATATACATTGTTACAAATAAAATAGAATGATAGTGTTTTAACTTAAAAATTTAAGATACAAATATTCTGAGAATTTCATGTGTACATATTTGTCAGTTTGAGAAAATAATTTGTTTAACCACTTTTCTTTTGTAAATTCAGATTACAATTAAAACTTACTTATTAAATTGTTTAATTTTTTTGTTTCTTCCTGTTACCGGTACTGTTAAGAAAATTGTTTTTTTGTTAAACATATTAACTGACTTTGCTAGTACACTGCTATGGCTCCAATAAACAGTTGGGCTTTCTTTCTACTTCTACAGTTAAATCTACATCAAAATGAGTTTGCGTTTAATACTGATACATTTTAAAAAATCTACATTGTAATAGTAGAGTAAATTTTTTCATATGTTAATTGGTTAAGCTAAAAATTCAAATAATGCAATTCCCTTATATTACTATTACATATATTCACCTAATAAAGCTTATTTCAGAATTAGTTCATCTCCCTTTATTTCAATATTTCTCCCATCGCCTTTATTTCCAGATGTCCCTAATGGAATGATTTTAAAACATATTTTGCCATTTTAGAAAGAAAGGGATTATTCAGTAAACAATTAAAAAATGTTACATTTATTGTAATGTAATACAACATATTACAGTTATATTGAAGCAAATTCATAACTTTATGGTTAAATGTATTTGGTTTTAACTTTATCACAAATATGCCTTAAATTTATTCCAGGAGAAAGTATATTGCACAGAAGTGAAGCCAAAGCCAGGTATAACTAGAACATGAGTGGATGGGTAGAATTTAAACAATTTAAAAAAAATTATTTTGAAAAATAAATAAAATCACCTTACAACTTATAGGCTCAGGCAAAATATATTATTGTACCAATCACCCCAAAATGTCTGCTATTGCTTGCTTAGTACAACTTGATGCATGGTAGCCAGTCAAAAGTCTGTCAAGTTCTGTTATATTTTCCAAACATAAATCAAAATCGGTCTTCAATATTAAAATTAAAAAGGGTATAACTTAATCAAGCAAAGTTAAGTACCGTATATAATTGACTGCAAGTAAAATTATTTAATAAATCTTATTTAAAGGATTAAAATTGTCAAGTTAAAATTTGTAGGTTCAAGCCTATTAGTATTAGTATTATTAACATGATCACGGCCAAGCCAAATGTTTGAAATATTATATCTACCATAGTAAGGATTTCACCACGCCGATTCAAAAGCAATAATTCCTATACTGGTACATAATAGCAGGAAAAGGATAAATACAAAATTTATTTTTGGAACCTACCCTTTTTATCATGAGGGTAATATCAAGGAGACTGCAATTTAAGCTGTGTGAAGGAAATATTAAGAAAAACGATTATAGAAGCTTACAAATGTAAAATATCCAAAATGTAAAGATGTTTGTGCTGAACTAAAATCCCTTCTTTTAAAAACTAAAAAAAAAAGAACTAGGAAAATATGGTTCAGCTTTTAAAGAAAAGGAGCTTAAGATGTCGTGTCATTGTTTTGTTTTATATTTCAACTGGAGCTTCAAGAAATCTTTTTCTTTATATTCCCATTTTTTCTCAAGAGCAAGCCAATTTTATTTGCTCTTGCATGCAAAAATTTTTTAGAGCTGAGTTTGAAAATTCATCTTTATCTGCACATCAATTATATTGTACTATTTAAAATGTTTATTATATTCACAACATACAAGTTGCAATATTAATGGTTAAAAAAAATGCAGTGGTTCTCACCCTAATGCCGCAACCTCTAGGCAGTTTCTCAAGTTGTGACTCCAAACCATGAAATTATTTTTGTTGCTACATCATAAATATGTGTTTTCCGATGGTGTTAGGCGACCCCAGTGTAAGGGTCATTCAATCCCCAAAGGGGTCACGACCCACAGGTAAAGAACCGCTGTTAAAGGAAAATTTTGGGGAAGATCAAAGAGTTATGGCCCCTGGTAAATAATCTTTGAAAATGCTTAACAAATGCATTTTGAGCTATAACAACATACATATCAGATATATAACAAAAATTAATCAACAAATTAGTGATGAGGACACTTGAAACACTTTTTAAAAAAAAACAGTTTGCTGTTTATTTGCACAGTAATAGCAGAGGAAATACCTCCATACTGGTATTGTACATAATCAGTTGTTAGATACATAATAATTAATAATATATTATTATGTATCTTGAAATAAATAATACCTTTCTAAACAAAAATATTTAATAATTTGTTTTCGGTTTTTACTTTGTTTCAATTATAATAATGAACTTATTTTCTACCAGTTGTAGTTCCCGAGCCACGTCGTTTGTTACCAGACCCATGGGGGTATTTAAAAGAATGTAAGTTCATGTTCCGCTTTCAGTGATACACTTCCAAGTATAAGACTTCTACTTTTACTTTTTTTTTGGAAGTTCGTAGAGTCACATTAGGAAATAATTGGGGCTTAAATTTTTCATTAATAAAGCCCCTTTTAGCTCTATCAAACCTTTTTAATTTCTTTAAAAGCTGCCATAGACTTTCTTTATGGAAGTAGAAGAGTAAAATCTGATTGCAATATATATATATATATATATTTTTAAATTTATATTATGGGTTTTTACTATGTTTAAACTTAAAATATTTGTATTATTATGGATTTTCAAAGTGGCTTCTGGGATGACCATAGGCTCTGTTCTGGTAAGTCAAATGCAAAAAACTGTTTATTCTGGTTTTCTACAAAATGCTCATATGCTTTGTCCAGTTACAATCAAATTTATAATGCTTTGTTTTGTTTTCATTATGTCATCTCATAGGGCCAAATAAGAAGGAAATCAAAGAACCAGAACAAGTAGAAAAACACTACTACCCTATCGTTGAAACCAAATACCACGTTACTCGTGAATCTAAGAAAGACTTGTTTTTTAAATCCAGAATTCCTTTATGATGTCAAACATCACATGTTGCTTTCTTGCAGCTTTTCTCTACAGCTGGCATAGTAGGAGAGCTGGAACTGGTACATCCATGCTGCTGACCTCTGGTCAGTGTTGAAAGGAGAAGGACATAAGACTGGAATACAGAAAAGCTGTTTGTAGAGGGTTTGCAGGCCAAGTGCAACCTTGACAGTAACTGTCTGTAAAGTAGCATGGATGGTCAGTTCCTATGAACGAAGTAAATCACAAGACATCTATTTTGAAGAATTATGTCTTACTGATACATTTGAATGCATAGTGTTGAGAAGTACGTATTTGACTGTCGTTAATCATTGCTAAGAATCTACACTGATGTACAATTATATTATTATATCTTAGTGATTTACATGAAAATTATACTTGTAGATAATCTATCTATTAGTATATTTTTCATATGAATTAATGCCGGTCCACTTTGACCTACTGTAACTGGTTATTAGCTTTGTGCAATTTGACTTTCTTATTTTTGGTCATTGCTGGCAGTGAACAGTTGTAGCCCTGTCTCTTCAGAAATCACTGAGCTTTCTTGACTCAAGTTGTTGAAGCTGAACGTAAAGACCAAAAAACCCCAACCAAATCTTAAGGGACATGAAACTGTATAAGCCAGGCCAAGAAACAAACAATAAACCAAAAAAAAACAAAAAAATCTTGAAATGTTAATTTCTTATTTATCCTTCTGTACGGCATTTAACATTTCTTAGAATGCATTCTTTTAAGATTTTTCAACTTTAATACTTTACAGCTTCTTTATTTGATTTTTAATATATATTAGTACTTCGGTTTTAATTTAAATGAATTCTCTTCCCCTATATTATTTTAACTACAACTAAAATTATGAGAATATAGATCAATCTTCTCTTAACGAGATGGCTTATGACATTCTATGGACGGCAAACTTTTTGGTCCTCACAATCATGGGTATCTAATTTTAAAAAAAAAAAGGCTTAGTAGCTCTTTGCCAAGTTCAAGACCTAAGAATATATTTTAATAGTTTTATCCTCATTCATTACTTCTGTGTCAAGGTAAGGAAGGAACAGGGTTGTTGTAGCTGGGGGGGGGGGATGTTACATAACATGAGAGACTAATCTTTGTTCAATATAAAGTAAGTTTAAACTTAAAGGGGAAGAGAAACATAAAAAAAAACAAATGCCAGTCTTTTCATATGAGGGCACAAACCAAAAGTTTAGTTTATTAATCTTTAGATCCAAATTAATCATCACAATAGATTTAAACACAACAGTGCTATACAGTTTAAAGACACAAAACGTCGGCCAAAAAAAAAAAAATTAAAGACATTCGCAAATTACAAATAAGTCTTCAACCTGAGGGATATTATAAATTTTATTTCCAAGTTGTTGACATCGATGCAAGAATTGAAACAATTATTTTTAAAACCACCACATACAACTCATACTCGTACACAGTAGCAAAAAATGTGTAGATTAAAATGCATCAATATTCACATTATATGAACAATGAATTGCCACATAAAAAAAAATATATATTGAAATCTAAAAATAACACATAAAAATTAAAATTTGTTTGACTAGACTATATTATATGAATGACAAATCTAATTGTCATGGTGGTGGACATACAATATATTTTCCCACCTATTGAAAACCATCCAGTGGATTTTAAAAAAATGTTCCTGATATTAAATTTAAAGTATAAACTTGAATTTAATTCTTTTAAAGTTAAAGCAAGCTTAGGTGTGCAAGAATGTCTAAGTACAGACCAAATAAGAACAACCATAAGAGATTCATAAAGTCTAATAATAATAATAAATCAATACTGGCTGTATCCTTGTAGGAAAGTCTTCCTTTGATTTTAGGCTCTTGTCTCTTGAATTTAATGTATTTAAAGCTTTAGTTTAACAAAAAATCATTGACATTACAATTATAGTTTGTGTAGAGCCGCTAAAATGTATACATAATGAGATGTGGCTATGCAAGAAATATTATCAATAATATCAGTTTAACCAGCAACATTTAATTATATTAAATATTCAACAACATCAAATGAGGCAATGCACCAGAAAAAAATTTAGAAAACAAGAAATGATTGATAAGAAGAAAAAAATACATTCCAATTTTAATTCTCGTCTTTAGTTAAATGCTTCTACTTTAATTAGTTCTGTACATGTTATAAAACAAATAACTGAAATGAATTCTAAATTTATTTTTCATGACATTCAACGTCATCACAGATTTTTACATTTTGAACTTCCATATAAATAAGTACATTGCTCTAGTTTGAAACAGTTTGAAAAACACAATCTTACAAAAACAAATCTAATTAAAACTATTTTTATAAAGAAATATCCCTTACCTGGATTGCATACTTATTCTGTCACTTTCTTACTAAACTTTAAAAAAAAATTGCACTTGCATGCTTCAGAAAAATTAATTCATGTGATTATTTTAATTGTCAAAATAATTTAAAATAGGTTAAAACTAAAAACATTTAATTCATGCTCATCAACTGGTAATAGTACCAATGCAAAATTAAATAACGCATATTGCTTATGTGCAGTTATTCCTTAAAAATGTTTTTATCCAATTGTTGCCAATATTAAATTAAGAAATAACCCATGCTTATAGTCGTACATTTAATTACACTACTTGAATCACGTCAGCCAAGAGGGACATTGAAAAGAAACAAAACAAATATCAAATAAATGAACTCATGTGGACAACATCCAATAGACTGTTACTCTGTTATCTAGACAAAACAACAACATAATGGCACATGTGACCAAAACTTGATAAATCAAAGCCAAAGCCTCAATTTATTTTTTGCTTGCTTTCTATAGCAACTGAAATAGTATTCAAGGCATCAACTATTCAACTGATATGGACTTATTGGTAATAATTATTGCCTAAATAAATACATCACATCTTTCCCCAATGCGGAGAAATAAATATTTTAGATTTTAAATAAATAAATATGTACATGATGTTGTACATGAAAACTTTGAGTAAAAAAAAAATACAAACCAAATCAATGAATCTTTACAAGGTTTTATCATGAGCCATTCTTTGACGGAGTCAATATTATATGTAACAAAGAAATGATCTTAATTCTTCCAGATTTAATCTCAGAAATATTTCACTAAGTTCCAAAATTTTTTTTTTTAACGGATGTTCCTTTCTAATCCAAATTCCTGGTTAGATCATAAACATGATATTTTTTAAACTGGAAAGCTTTAAAGGTTTATTGACATATTAGTATTAGAGTAGCCTTTAATAAATGACATTTTTTCATAAGAATATACATCGTATCAGCTAAAGGGTTATGGAATCTTGAGTCTCTGAGTAAGAACAATTTTTAAAAAAACAACTAAATTATGCCATTTAAACTACTTTAGGTTTATTTCTTCAAATATTCTTTTTTCACTTTCTAAAACAAAATTTGCATTATTATGGACATAAGGGATGATATCTGTATGTGAGATTGTATTTTTTCTTTATTTAAATATTGTTTTTTGGTTTTGAAAAAAAAAAAGGGGGGGGGGGTAATTAAAAATTAATTACTTTGCCATGTCATAAAATAGATGGGACTAAAGAAATGAAAGACATATATTATACATTTTTGGGTTTAATTTTCATCGACATATTTTGAATAACTCGAGCATGGAATTGGTTGAAGCTGTAAAACAAGAATATTTATCTCTTCCAATTGATAGCCATGTGGTAAATAGGTCATGTCTGCTTCAAATAAAACAATTTGAAAAAAAACTGATACTGATAGGGAAATAGATAAACTTTTATTTCTTTTAAATGATCCTAGACTCCATCTATTCTTATGTCATGGGCAGAGTTTCATTTAAGTTATTGCAAATTCGTAAAATCTAGTGTTTATCCATCACTAGTGGGTCTGTTAATCCATCACAAGTAGGTCTGTTAATCCATCACTTGTGTGTTTATTAATCCATTACTAGTAGGTCTATTAATCCATCACTTGTAGGTCTATTAATCCATTACCAGTAAGTTACAATCTGATGTTCTACCGTACCAGATGATTAAACAAGAAAATATCTTGTGAAATCTTGCCAGGTAAGCAGGATTTATTTATAGCTCTGCTTCCAGACAAAAAGAAAAAAGTAATATGTGAGAAAGGTAGATGAGAACTCACAAGTTTAGACTGGTGGTGATTTTTAAGTTTTTTAAACTTGAAATTTGAAAGTTAGTTTCAAGGATGTAGATTGTTTTAAAATAAGTGCAAAGGCCTATGGCCTATCAAAAAGTTAATAGAAATTAATCTCTTTTGTTTTATAACATTATCCTATTTGTCAAATAATAAGTGTAACTTATTGTCTTGCTACTGTAGACAAGATATTTTTTCTTAGGTATCCAGGAATGAATCATCACTAAATAGAAAAAACTTAACTATTGAACATAAAGTTTTTAAAGATTGAAAAATAAATAATAATTATACATTAAATGTTCAGCATCAAAATCACCAGATGACGAACCAATAACAATTTATATAGTAATTATTGGAAACTTACATACTCACAATTTAAGTCTTAAACCAAGCAATTATCCTTTTTTTTACGTCCAAAAGAAGGTGTAAAAGTTTATAAAACACAGAGGTCAAATAAGAATTGAACCGTTAAAAAACTTTAATCCAAGTTTGAATGTTTTGAACTCTCAGGATTACTTTTTTTACCAAACATAAACAACTTAAAGAATTTTGTTTTCACATTAAATTTCAGGACAAAAACTGAAAATCACTAATTGAATGTGCCTTTAAAAAATTTATATCACAATATATCTGAACTGTGCCTTCATCAGCATGAAGAAAATATAGAATTATACAATGTCTGCAACCATTCATTTTCATGTATGAGAAAGAGATACCAAAAGCCATTAAAAAATTTGTTTAAATTTTATTCAGTCATCATGACATTCATGCCTTGAATTTTCATGCTCTGCACAGCAAGATCAACAAATTGACACTTTTATCTTTCTATTACAGTTGGTCTTCCACTTCTATATACTTAATAAATAAAGTGATTCTACACTAATTACAACAATATGGATTTAAAAGATTATGCCACACATAGAACTCAAATACAGGATCAAACAGAAAAGATAATACCATATAGAATTCTACTTTTCTCCTTGCTAAACCAAAGACAGGGGGAACTCTATGGTCAATAAAAAAACTAATTAACTAATTAACTTTGATAGATACATGTTTTAAATTCATGTATTTTGTAAAAACAAGAATTGATCTAAAAGTTTTTGAATCTGAGCCTCTGGAAGTTTAATGTAAGATCATTAAATTATTCAATAAATGGATTAAATACTTGTTGCGGTGTCATTATTTTCTGTGAACACTAATCGTGACAACCGGCCGGTTCTGTCCATCTGTTATTGTGACCGATGACTCCTTGGTCACGACCACTTTCCGAACATCCTGACTCTGAGTCACAGAATAGACTTTCCTTTGCACCGGCTTTAAAGGAGCCTCTATGGTCAGTTGTTTGTCATCTGCAATGTAAGCCTGTATGGTAGAAGGATCAACTGACTCTGCAGATAGACAAGGACATTTAATAAGCATCTCATTAACTTGGGGCTTGAGGTTAAATATAGGCAGCAGGGGCGGGTATACGGGTAATAAGACC